CTGGCTTGGGTCTCCATGTGGCTCCTCCAGGTCCAGGGCTTTTGCTGCCTTCAACATCGCCCCATGTGGCTTGGCAGTAGAGAGTCTCTCAGGGAGTGAGGTGTGTCCCAACACCAATGAGCTATTTATCTCCTTAGCACCTCCAAGTGAGGTCACCAAGCTACGACTGATTGATAAGCCAAACTCCACCCCTTCACTCTTAATCTTCTCAAATTGACAACAGATTATATAACTACCACACTACCTTCAAAAGTTTATGGGCCTGGGCAAGAGAATATGTTGAGAAAAAATAGCTTCACATTTTTGTATTATTGTTAAATAAGTATTTCTATAATTTTTAGCAATTGTTTTTGACCTTCCTTGTGGCTTGCCATAAAGAGAAGTTGACCTTATGAGCCCCTAATAAACTGATTGAAAGTGTCAAAAAATTTAAATGATTAAAGGAACCCCAAAAATCATACAAAAGAAAAGAAAAAAAGTGAATGCACCCATAGTTGAAAGCAAGGACTCAGATAGATACTTGTACATCAATGTTCGTAGCAGCATTATTCAAAAGAGCTAAAGGTACAGACAATCCAAGTGTCACTCAACAGGTGCATGGATAAAGTGAGGTCTACCCAGGCAGTAGAGCATTATGCAATCATATAAAGGAATGAAGCAGATACAGGAGACAGCATGGACGAACCTCAGAAACAGTGTGATGCCGAATGTTACTGTTAGGGGTCCTGCAGTCTGTTCTGACTCAGAGCGGCCCTGGAACAATGGAATCGAATCCTGCCCCTTCCTGTGCCATTGTCACTGTCGCTGTTAAATTTGAGCCCACTGTTGCAGCCACACGTCCACAGAATGTCTAAAATAGGCAAATGCAAGGAGACAAAAAAATTAGATTAGCAAGAGCCAGTAACTTTGGGTAGGAGAAAGTTGGGTAGGAGCCCAGGTGGAGCAGTGAATTAAGCATTGACAGTTGGTCCAGAGGAAATGATGAGGTAATCTGCTCCTGAACTCTATATAAATGTATATCTCTTCAGAAGCCTATTAAGCAATTCTGCTCTGTCCTGTAGGGTGGCTGTGAATTGAAATAGACTCAACAAGAGAGGGTTTGTCTCTGTTATTGTTGTCTGAACTTGGTTTGGGTGATTGTGTAACACTGTGAGGACCCTGCTCGCACAGTGAGTTATGAGTTGGGCTACTATCTGGAAAGTCAACAGTTTGAATTCACCAGTCACTCTTCTGGAGAAAGATGATACTTTTGTTCCCATAACGATTGACAGCCTTGGAAAAAGAGACAGTTCTACTCTGGCCTGTGGTATGCTCTAAGTCAGAGTTGACTCGATGGCAGTGGGTGGCGGAATTTATAACATTGTAAATGTAATTACTGCCACAAAATTGTACACTTAACAGTGGTTAAAATGGAATTTTAAAGCTATACATATCTTGACACAATAAAAATTTTATAAATTAATGCATCATTGCTGATTTTTCAAAAGTTCAACCCTGTGCCAACTAAAGGTGAAATAATACCTCATTTTGAAAAGTAATGACTGACAATTTAGATAAAGGCTCAGGATGTGGAGTCAGAGTGGAACAAATCTAATACTCACTAAGTTACATAACCTTGAATGTGATGCCTTCTAAACCTTACTTCCCACATCTTTAATATGGACTTAATAGTCCCTTCCTCTCAGTTTGTGTGTTAGACTGGGTTAACTAGAGAAACATATCCAGATACATTCATATGTGTAGAAGAAAGAGCATTATATCAAAGAGTAATTGTATATTAAGAAATCCCAGCCCATTCTAGATCAAGTTTATAAGTCCCATATTAGCCCAAATGTCCGATGCCAGTCTATAAATTCCTCTTCAGACTCATGCAACACATGCAATGATGCCAAATGCATGTGATCACAGGCCTGCGGGTGGAAAGTCTTGTGGATCCAACGGCAGTGGAAGCATCTCAGTGCTGGCTGCCATCAGCGTGACTCCATGTGGCTTGTCAATAGGAAAGTGAAGCAGAGAGTGTGTCCAGTCAAAGACAGGAGTTCCCAGAATCCTCAGGAGAAGGCCATGCCCACACAAAGGCATTGACTATGGCCTGATTGACAAGCCAGACTTTACCCCCATCACTCAAGTTGACAGATTACGTAACTGCCGCAGACTGCTTCTTAGGATGAAGTTGATCTTTACACATAAGCCTTGGAGTGCCTAATGCATGTAAGCCCTCAGTAAAAATCAGATGTTCTAAATAAAGTAGCAGTAGTTCAAAGTAAAAAAATAGGAAAGGTCTCAAAAAAAATTTAGGAGAGACCTCAACATTGAAGTATAAAGCAACATTTTGCATCCCAAAGGAATTTTTTGTTGTTTCATTTTTTGAATGTGAGACTGTCTGTCAACTCATTTGCCTTGATTCTCCTTCAGGTCTTTGGATTCTTGAACTTTATTCTCTGGGCTGGAAACATATGGTTTGTGTTCAAGGAAACTGGCTGGCACTCATCGAGCCAGAGATATCTTCCCGACCCCATGGAGAAGCACTCAAGTAGCTACAACCAAGGTGGTTACAACCAAGACAACTATGGATCGAGCGGTGGGTACAGCCAGCAGGCGAGTGCAGGGCCAACCTCAGAGGAGTTTGGCCAACAGCCCAGTGGGCCCACTTCCTTCACCAATCAGATTTAAGAGGGTAGCATTGGCATTCTTCTGGAGATAGCTCCACCACCTTCCATTTCGGTGGCAGAATTTTTACAAGAGTTTAAATCAGTTGTTAATGCAGAGAGTGCTGAATGTTAATCAGAACAGTCTGGTCCTCATTAAGGCAGAAGGCCAGGGTCATGATAAATGGTACTTAGATATGACACAGCATGAGAAGATACAGTATTCGTCATAGATGCCTACCTGGCAAGTACCGTGTTATATTGCAGCCACATTTATGGTCCTTTTGTGTACGGGTTGAAGCAGTAGAAGCATGTTGCAGCTGGAAGTCTCCAGTGCATGTAATATGCACAGGTAAACTAGGTAGCACTGAGTTTTCCTGTGTACTTTGATGTGAAAGAAGTTTTAGTGATTTCTCTAAGACAATTTGGTGTATTACAATATGCATGTATAACTATTCTTTTTTAATTTTAGGCCCTATAGACAGTGAGTTACTAAGTATTTTTTGCAGACAACTACTGTGTATTTTGTTTTTTAACTTGATGAATCAGTACTCATAGGATTTAGTGCATGAATAAGCATTTTCTCAGAAAATGAATATTTGGACTGTACTTCTGAAAATTTTCCAGTTTGCATAATGAATTTGGCAAATGGACATTTAAGAAACATATTCAATACTTTGTATACTTTGCAAATTTGTCTATCTGGTTTTACCTAAGTCTGAATGCATTGTAGCAAGGTATTCTTTACCCTACTAATAGATTTTCAGTATTATATATGATAAGCTACCCAATATTTATTCTATTTATTTAATGAAGTATTTACATTCTTGCAACTTTCTATGGTGTTTTGTGATGCTTTCCCTGTGGGTCACAAATAATAAGACCCCAAACTGTATTGAATTTATTGATGGTTGTTTTCTTAGAATAGTGGAAATGCCGGTGTCAGGCCCTGTATTCAAAGAGCTTTCCTATTCAAGTAACCACTTATAGAAGCTAGTCTATGAATCCTTCATGATCAGTTCCACTTCTAAATCCTATTTCTTAACAGTAACCACATGTTCTCTATCCAATTATGAAAAACTTCATGTCACAGCTAATGAACAGATTATTAATTCTGATCTGAGTGTTGCCCATAAATTTAAAACGGCTTCCATATGCCACAGAGGTTTCTAATGAAATATTTCCCCAGAATGCATCCATTATCAAGAAAATGCCAATCTTGGCCTTTGTTCTAACTCATTGAAGACACCAGGGCCCATCAGTGAGGGCAAACTGAGCATCTGTATTTCCAGATTAAATTCATTGTCAATGTAGAAGCACATTGTGTGATCTGTATTGTTGGAAGCGCTTTAACATAAAAGCAGCCTGTGTCTTCGATGCTATCTGTAACTGGTTTCTGAATCCCGTTGAGTAAATCTGTATTGTGATATCTACTGGACGTGAATAAAGTTATTGCATACAAAGCTGAATGGACAATGAGCGCGGTGGACTTTCACAGTAAAAGGGGGTTAAGCGCACAGGTTTTCTATTCTATCTCATTGCTTTGCTTCATGAGCCCAGTGCAATTCACTCCTTCAGTCTAGCTTTGGAAGACTTCCTATAGCCCATCCCCAAGCAAGGGATGCAAGTATGAGCAAGAGCTAAAACACATCCTACCTCAAGAATCTTATACTCTGTTCAGCGAGACAAACACTAAAATAAGTACTAGGTTCCATGAAAGCATGGACCGAGGACTCTGAACTAGACAGGAAGCTCTGTGTGAGGCAGAGGCACTAACTGAGGAGTGGCGATGTGTGTCCACCCACAGGTGCTTTGGAAAAAAAGGTGTGGAAACTAACTTCCCAAGAAAGCAGTCATCACAAACCTTAGGGAGCACAGTTCCGCTCCTGGGGGCACCATAAATCTACCGGATTGGATGGCAAAGTATTTTGTTTTGTTTTGAGCTCCTGGATAATGCAGTTAAAGAGCTTCATGGCTGGCTGGAACGATGGTGGATCTAACCCACCCAGAGGCTTCATGGAAGGTAGGACAAATCTCCAACACCATTTGGAACAATTCTGTTTTGCATCTAGGGGGTCACCACCAGTCAGGGTAAACTCGGCCCTACTGCCAACAACAACAAAACAGGGGCAGCCAAGGACTTCCCTGAGAAAGCAGCAAGTGAATTTTAGACCTGAAGACTGCGTCATCTTTAAGTAGGCCAGGGCGGGAGGGAAAAGTGTTCCCCGCAGAGAGCAGCCTTGCAAGCCTGTCCTGATGGCAGGCAACCTGATGGGTCTGTAGTGTTGCGGGAGGCTAATGAGCAAGGGCAGCTTTATGGGCAGTGAGGCTGCTGGGGAGTACTTGAGTGAAAAGCCACACAGAGGCAGCACAGGGACAGCCTGTCTTTATCCTAAAGCTCAGGGGAAGCGTTGAAGGATGTGAGCAGGGGGAACAGGATGCGATTAGCATTTTGAAAGGATCACAATGACTGTGGGGTACAGAGTGGATTGGAGGGGGACAAAAACAAAAGTCATCCTGTGGATACAGAAATAAGCATGGAGGACTGTAGTGGACTGGGGATGGAGCGGGCACTCCCCCTCCCCCACTCTCCACCAAGGACAGTGGCTGGATTTGACCGCTCCCCCAAGTATTGTTCAGCGGAAGAGTGGTCCCTGCTTCATAAGCTGCCATGAATACACCAAAGCAAAGCCATCCCTCCAGCAGCAGTTATATTTCTCCCCAGCCCTAGCAAGTCCGAAGTCCGCTGGGGGCCCTGGTAAGTGGAAAGCACTCCCTGCATGGCCCAGATCCAGCCAGGCTTCCACAGTTCCCTGCAGATTCCCACTCCAGAGCTCCAGCCCTCCGACAGGGATTTCACTACGTAGTTGTTTCCTTCCGGGGTCAAGAAAAGAGCAGCAGAGTCGGCCTTTCAGAGGGGGGTGTGATCAGGGCAGCAGGGGAGCCCGAGACTAGGTGTCCAATCAATCACACTGAGAATTGCAGCTTCTCCACATTAGCTGGGTTTCAGGGTGTGGCATGTCCTTCCTGGGCTTGGTTCCTTGAGAGGAAGTAAAGCATTTAAGGGTGGGCTCTGAGGTCCTACTGGGTCCGTTGCTCACTCTGTGGTGACTTGACTGTCACTGATACTGGATGCTATGCCACTGGCAATTAAAAAGCCAGTGGGGTCAACCACGTGGACAGATTTTATCAGAGCTTACAGACTAGAAATAAAAGCCTACTGGTCTCCTTCTGAAAATCAGCCAATGAAAACCCTATGGACAGCAACAGAGCATTATCTAATACAGGGCCGAAAAATGACCCTCGGAGCTTGGCAGGCACGCAAACTACCCAGAGGTTGCAACAATGGCCTTGAGAGTATCAACAACTCCTTAGCAGCCAACAGCAGCAGCAACGTGAAGAGAAGGTGGCCTGCCTATTTTCCTCCAGGGGTCGTCATGATGAAGCATGCCCACCTCATGACTCCCGAGTACCAGTGCCTTCAATTCTGCCTGTGGAATTCTGGCTGCACTGGTCACTTAACCCACGCACAGGCTGGTCTGAAAGTCCTGGTCCATACACACCATTGTTTTCATTGCTGATGGTGCCCCCCCCACCCCCGCCCAACAGATTGATTGGCATATAATTTGCATATCATACAATTCAATAGTTCAATCACATCAAGAAGAGTATCACAGTCATCTCCACAATCAGTTTTAGAATATTTTCTTCATTCTTGTACTCATCGTTCACTGTTCCCATTTCCGCCCAAAGTCACTGCCTTTGAGTAAATACCAACTCACAGAGACCCTCTAAGACAGAGCAGAACTCTCTTGTGGGTTTCTGGGTTTACTACAGAAGTATTTAAGCCCCAAGTTTCTCCCACGGAGTGGATGGTAGTTTTGAACTTCAGACCTTGTGGATCACAGCCAACTCGTAACCATTAGCCACCAGAGCGCCCTAATGTAAAACTAGTTATGTATTAAACTATGGTTAAATTTGATAGTGAACATTACAAAGGCTTCTGTATGCCTTTGCTATAGGAGGAGGCCCATGGGGTGGTATGATGACAACCATAAGTTACCACATTGGGTGACAACAACCCTTTTGATGTCACACGTTTGAAAAAGTTGAATGATAACAAAATGCTTGTGAACACATTCACTAGTAAAAAAGCATTCTTAGGTGCTAATTTCCACTGATCGCCTTCTCTAAACAAATAACTATGCTACATATTTTATATCCATATTCTGATTTAATGGTAACAGGACATACAAGATAAAACACTGTTTAATAACCATTAAGCAGATGAGAACACAGGTTCATAAATATTAGGTAGCCTAATGTCTCTGAGCTGGTTAGTGTCCAAATTCAAATCCAGGTATCTATGTATCCAAAACCCTTCATTCCAAAACACCTGTATACTGCACGTCAGGCCAGATGTGCGTTGCCTGTCCAACTAGGTGCAATCAACAAAGACCCAGCCTTTCATGCCCTTCATGTGACCTTCTGTAGGAACACCAGCTCCCTAAGACTTGGGAAGAATTTTGGGGGTCAGAACCAATTCACTGAATGCGTTACTTAAGTCCTTTAAAATGGTTCAAAATCCAGTTGAGCTAAGAGTGATTTTATAGCATGCTTGATTTGGAGTTAAGCATTGCTGGGTTTTAATATTTAGCTACATGTCATTCAGCACCTGCTGGTCACAAGTCCTTCCAGGAATGGCCTGGTCCTCACTAGAAACTCACCTTCATGAACAAGGTACCAAGCCCCAAACCACACCGGGTGCTGGCTGGCCAATTCCACCTCCTGGCAATCTTGTTCGTGTTGGAGTAGAAGTGTTCAGGAGGGTGTTCACAGCTGTGACCTTTCACAAGCTCATCACCAGACCTTTCTTCCAAGGTGCCTCAGAGTGAGTTTGAGCTGCCAGCCTGACGTTTAAGTAGCCAATCACTTAACCATTTGTACCACCCAGGGTCACTTGAATGAAGTGTACTGACTCTGAGAAAGGCTGAAGTGAAAATGCATGTGAAATCTAGCAATTTCCCTAGAAGTCCTATGATCTGGTGGAAAATTCTTTCAATCTGAGTATTTCTTCCCAAAGAGCATGCCCAGTCTCATTGTCTTGCTTCATTGAACAGAACACTTGAGAGAGGTTGTAATAAGTCTTACAGGTTTCCTGGGGGCTGGAAAAGAGTTCACCATTGAGTTTCTGGTATTTTATTCTTATTTCAATTACTTGATCTCTTGTAGTTTAAGAAGGTAGATTGGCTTGTTAAAAACAAAAAAAGCACTCAGTGGCTTACTTAAAGGTCAGTGGTCCCAACCAACCAGCTGTTCCACTGAAGAAGGATGGAGAATTCTTCTATATAGATGACTGCCTTGGAAACTCTATGGGGCAGTAGTACACAATCCTTTAAGAATGGTGTGAGTCAAAATTGACTCAGCAGCAGGTGTGGGACTTGGAGTTGACTTGTGTTGTGAACTCGACTCCCTGGTTCATAGGAACTTAAAATTATCCCCCTGCTAGAAATAATCACAGGTGTGTGTTTTCATGTCACCTGCTTTCACGCCCTGTGGTAAGCCCAGGAAGAGGAAAATACAAATAGAAGAGTTTTTATTTCAAAGGTTTCCCTTCTTTCCAGCAAACTGATATTTGTCCTGAATATTCTCTCCTCTGATCTTTTCAATCACGTCTATTCGGACTGATCTCCACTGTGATATAATTTCTAGAATCAGTTACATTCTGAAGCTCCCACCTTGCCCTACACTTCACTGCCTGTTTGCAAGTTCTTCTTTAATCTGACTCTGCCCGTTAGAATTTCAGTTAGTGATGCGGGGTATTTCCATGGAACTTTGTAGTGCGGCACCACGTTCACTCATGAGGAATGCGTTGTTTCAGTACGCACCATTGTAGCCAGTGAAATTTATAGTCTGCAAGGTTCTGCACCTTGGGCGCTGAGAACCAGATGAAACTATTAGTCTGTCAGTGTACAGTGATTGTGTAAATTCCAAGCAGCTAGATGATGCAAGTATGAGTCTTGGTGGTATAGTGGTTATACTTCAGGCTGCAATCACCTGGTCAGCAGTTTGAAACCAACTGTAACTCCTTTGGAGAAAAATGGGGCTTCCTAATCCTGTAAAGAATTACAGTCACAAAAACTCATAAAGACAGTTCTACCTTGTCCTATACGGTTGCTGTGAGTCAGTATCAACCTGATGGCAATGAGGATTTTGTGTTGTTGCTTTGTTTTTTGTTTGTTTGTTTGGGGGGGCGGGGGAGGATGATGCAAGTATGGGCTTGGAGACAAAGAGACCCTGATTGAAACCCTGATTCCACCATTGGAACCCGGCTGTGTGATCGTGGGAAAGTGAATCTGAATACCTGAGCCTTATTCATAAAATGAGGGTTATGATAACTACCTTTGTTTGTTTCCTAAGATGCCATAACAAATTACCATGACACAGACTTATTATCTGATACTTGTAA